GTCACAACAATGTTTCTCGACAGTCAGTTTCCCTGAAACACAGTCACAACGTTACGCGACAGTCAGTTTCCCTAAAACACAGTCACAACAATGTTTCTCGACAGTCAGTTTCCCTGAAACACAGTCACAACAATGTTTTTCAAAAGTCAGCACAATGTTTCCTGACAGTTAGTTTCCCTTTATGCACAGTTGCTACAATGTTTCCTGACAGTCAGTTTCCCTGAAACACAGTTGCTACAATGTTTCCTGACAGTCAGTTTCCCTGAAACACAGTTGCTACAATGTTTCCTGACAGTCAGTTTCCCTGAAACACAGTTGCTACAATGTTTCCTGACAGTCAGTTTCTCTGATACACAGCTGCAACAAAGTTACTCAACAGTCGGTCTCTTACCTGCCCTGTGGTACGATGAATACTGCAAACTGTTGAGCCGTCTTGTGTGGCCTGTCTACGACATACAGCGTGTACCGCGGTTCACTTGACTCGCTGCTGTACAGACACAGGGAAGGCTGGTCCCCACCCACATTTCTGCAGCAAACACAGGACACACATATCTATCATGTCTACAGTGAAGGATGCTTTACATATTGTTTGCATAATCATATAAGTATCTTACTACAACAGTGAGGAGTATGATAATAAACTTTTCGACATCAAAGTGACCATAGCTACATTAAAACCACCCAATTCTCATGAAGTGAGGGGTTGATTTAACTGCTGGCCCATTGGCCTGTGGCCAGTTAAACTTACAAAGGGCTTGGTGAAATGAATGAAGACTTCCATCTGGCTAGTCAAAAATTTATCCCTTCTCCATGTATGTTTAATTTTATCAACTGGACACTGCTTGTGAATCATGTAATTTGTAATATTGGGGGGGGGGGGGGGGGGGGGATCAAGTCATGTGAATGGTTAACTCAAAGAAAGATATATCCTGATCATCTAGGTAGAATAACACAACATTGTGTAATGTTGTGTACAACATCTTTAATTTGCTCATAAATGGCCATGAAATGAGGCAAATGGGTGCCAAGATTTAATCTCAGAGTGCAGGAAAAGACGGTTTAGGGGTGAGGAGTTCTAAAATTTTCATAGTCCCCCTGGTAACTCAGTTGCTGTGTGACCTCGGGTTCGGCAACATCGTTGCCTCCATCGCTTAGTTGTGGGCCTGTTGGTTTGGGCTAGTAACTTTTGAAAGGAGCAAGCCCTGCTGGCTATATACAAATTTGTTGTTAGATCTACCCCTGTAAGTGGCTCTTATGACACCGCCTGGGGTAGTGCAGACTATTGTGTGAAGTAATCCCACAAGGGAATATATACATAGAGTCAATAACTAGTTATAAAGACGTACAGAGCGTGAGATTCATATTTTGAACATGTTTATCAATATGCTGTAATATTAAGATTGAAATGGAAATATTCAGATCGTCGGTTCATCAGACCCCAAAAGAATGTTGAAAAGGTTGAAACGGTGCACTCACTTCGTTGATATCTGATGCTTGACAACTGCATAATACTGCATCTCCTTGACGACAGTCTTCATCCCCTGCACATACTCATAGCGGTCCATCTTGTCCACAGCGTTGCACACCTCTAGAATCTAACATGGAGTCAGTGACTGAATGAGTTGACACCCGTCTCACCAGCATTTCTCTAATGTCAGCTTAATGTGGGAGGAAAGCCATATACAGGGAGCAACTATTTGATTTTCAGGGGGTGGGTGGATTGTTTCCCCAAAACAATTTGCTAAACTGACAAATAAATAAATGTGCGTCGCATTGTCGGTAAAAAAACAATGTGACCTATACATGCAGTTTGTTATATTTATTTATTTCAAAAAAAAAGAAATTGAGCAAAAGGAAATGAGTGAAGCACACAAACAAGGATATGGTGCTGACAAAACGACCGTCAGTCGGGAAAGCAATTAATGTACTTTTCATTTGAAAAGCTGAAGACCATTTTTGATGTGCCAATAAAAAATAATACAGCTGGAATATTGCTAAAAATGTGTAAACTATATCTATAAAAACTTGTAAAACAAATTAAAACAATTTAACAGAGTTATTCCCCTTACATCACAGAACACTAAATAAACAATTGAAACATTCATAAAATCCAATAACTCTTCCCAATCATCTTGGCAAAAAACTTGCCATTGCCTAAAAATGGTGCTTACCACATACATTCGAACTGCTCGTTATATGTAGAGAAATCTTTAGTCATCAATTAAGAAAAGAGTGTCAACTGGATGACTGAGAATCTGTTTGATATGAAAGGACATCGTGACTCTATCAACATGTCAGGTTTACTTACTGGACACATGTTTGGCATCTTCTTGAACTTGGTGAGTATGATGACAAAGGCGGGCAGTGTGAAGTCTGGGTCATCCTGTGAGGGCTCCTTCTCAACCCGGTGGACACGCACCGGCCACCCCCTGGGAGGGAGGGAGAGGGGTTTATCAGGCAGATTCTAACAGTAATATCACGGTGGCATGTGGATTTCTTAGTCAGAGACAGTCGGTGTAAAAGACAATCATGAGACAATCATCAAGTACCGGTGACCTCTCTGAACTGGAATCCCCACAGGGAGACAAGCATGAGGTACTGTGAACCTATTCTGTCCTGGAATCCCTACAGGGAGACAAGCATGAGGTACTGCGGACCTATTCTGTCCTGGAATCCCTTCAGGGAGACAAGCATGAGGTACTGTGAACCTATTCTGTCCTGGAATCCCTACAGGGAGACAAGCATGAGGTACTGCGGACCTATTCTGTCCTGGAATCCCTACAGGGAGACAAGCATGAGGTACTGCGGACCTATTCTGTCCTGGAATCCCTTCAGGGAGACAAGCATGAGGTACTGTGAACCTATTCTGTCCTGGAATCCCTACAGGGAGACAAGCATGAGGTACTGCGGACCTATTCTGTCCTGGAATCCCTTCAGGGAGACAAGCATGAGGTACTGCGGACCTATTCTGTCCTGGAATCCCTTCAGGGAGACAAGCATGAGGTACTGCGGACCTATTCTGTCCTGGAATCCCTACAGGGAGACAAGCATGGAGTACTTCGGACCTATTCTGTCCTGGAATCCCTACAGGGAGACAAGCATGAGGTACTGCGGACCTATTCTGTCCTGGAATCCCTACAGGGAGACAAGCATGAGGTACTGCGGACCTATTCTGTCCTGGAATCCCTACAGGGAGACAAGCATGAGGTACTGCGGACCTATTCTGTCCTGGAATCCCTACAGGGAGACAAGCATGAGGTACTGCGGACCTATTCTGTCCTGGAATCCCCACAGGGAGACAAGCATGAGGTACTGCGGACCTATTCTGTCCTGGAATCCCTACAGGGAGACAAGCATGAGGTACTAGGGACCTATTCTGTCCTGGAATCCCCACAGGGAGACAAGCATGAGGTACTGGGAACATAATGTGATGTGGAATCCCTACAGGGAGACAAGCATGAGGTACTGGGGACCTTTTCTGCCCTGGAATCCCTACAGGGAGACAATCACACGGTACTGCAGATCTCTGTGTGGAATCAAACTGTTTTGGTGTGATGAGCGAAATCACTGGACTCCTCACTCTCCTGCCACATTATTGTCAAAGACCTGTGTGTGGACATCTTCCCGAGGCAAGTGAGTTAACTGACTTTAAAAGTCCGGTTTCCACCCTTGCCGAACTAGGCTGGTATTATGGTGTTACCGCATTTTCTTGAGTATAGTGCGCACTTCTTTCTAAAAAAAACACAGCTGTGTAGAAGGGGGTGCGCATTATACACGAATTAATGAGTTCTGATGTTTTTTCCCGCATGGAAAGACATTACCGCGAGCATGTAACACCGGAAATACCATGTCAACAAATCCATACTGAAGTAAGCAAATTAGTCATGTAATTATACTGTCTGTCTAAAAAAAGTGTTCTTTGTATATCTGGACTTATGTTTGTAACTTATTTTAATAATTTTATTCAAAATTCCTTTTAATATTGTTTTAATTAATTTCGTTGAAATCGTGTGTGAAGCGATCGGAAGATCGCACAACTCACCGTTATTAACAGCAACCACGGTCAGATTACTGCTATTGACGCCTTGAAACGAACTTTAGTTGACAGAGAATGGATACTTAAACAGTCATGCCTCGTTTATACGGACACTTTTGTCATTTCACAATTCGTCCGTATAAACGAATTTCCGTATAACTGAAACCAGCTTCTTACTGGAAGAGTTACTTCCCTTCAATTATGCAACTCATGACAGATGACAGAACAAACAGATACATCCACTCAAATTTCCCTTTTTTAGCGTGCTGTAACTGCGTGTCGCTTACGTTTCGCTGGTTGACAGGCCATACTTACACAACTTTGAACTCTGACCTCCACAGACGCCATATTTTTTTAAGGGGATTACATGTACAATAAACAAGCTCGTCTCAAACGTAACTCAGTGTCACTTGGTTAATTGACTTCTCACGAATCAAAGGATTACCACCAGCGGAGGGATTACCACCAGCGGAAGTGTATTGTCCGGATAAGTGAGACAATTTTGTGTGCATTTCAGTGTTTTGTGTATGAAAATGACCGTCCGGTTCCGGAAACTGAATTTCCGTATATACGGGTAAATTTATATAGTAATTATTTCGTTTTGAATGAAAATCGTCCGGGAACCGAGGTTTCCGGATATCTGAAGTCCGTATAAGCGGGGCACGACTGTATCATAAATGCCATACTGTGACTCATTAAAAGTCATATTTGTTTTTGTTGGACGATTCTTTGTCAACACGTAATACTCGCGATCGCGCGATCACGTGCACGGGAGCCTTGACGGTGACTTGTCAGACTGGTTCCATGTAAAAAATAATACCCGGCAATAGCGATCAGCTGCTTCGCTTAGGGTTATTATTATTTTAAATATGTTTAGTAAAAGCTGCATCTAAATTAACAAGATATTGGTACATTTTGGCTGGACTAACGAGTCTTTGCATAGTCCAATCAAAATCGTGCACCGAAATCAAAATCCGGTTCGTAAACTGTCGTGCAGATTTTGGTCGATTGCAGGATATGCAAAGCACGTGCACTGCCAACTCGTTGACAGCCGATATTTTCCAAATCTTTTCATATTTTTAATGAAGGTGCTCACATGATTTGATGCATTTTGCAATGTAAGACCCGTTTTATCACAATATAGATCTTGTTTATCAAGCAGATCGTCCTGACTGTGCGCCACCATTTTGTGTGAAGCAATCGCAAGTGATACGAGAGGTGGAATCTGATTGGTCCATAGGAGAGGCTTAGAAGGGACATCACTGGTAATAGCCACTGGTGGCGCTACGATCGAGCCAAGTAATTCCAGCCTAGTTAGGCAAGGGTGGAAACTTGACTTTTAAAGTCAGTTAACTCTCTTGCCTCGGGAAGATGATGTGTGGATGGCAATGTACTGACCTAGTCTGACATTAAATTGTGAACTCTATTTTCTTTGTTCAACAAATGCCCAATCTTGTGAAATGAGTTGAACGTTACATACAGTTTGTTTCTTTGTTGTTTAACGCCGCACTTAGCAATATTATAGCTATATGAGAGCGGTCTGTAAATAATCGAGTCTGGACCAGACAATCCAGTGATTGATATCATAAGCATCAATCCACGCAATTAAGATCGATGACAGGCATTAACCAAGTCAGCGAGCCTGACCACCCGATCTCTTTAGTCGCCTTTTACGACTAGCGTAGTTGCCTTTTATGGCAAGCATGGGTTGCTGAAGACCTATTCTACCCCGGATTTTACTTACAACTGTGCGAAGTAGGAGAAGAGTTTGTTTGCGATATGTTCCTGGAGCAAGGATATGCAGATGTAACGGCCCCCAAGTCTCAACACACGACTCAGCTCCGCGAACATCTTGTCAACAGTAGCCACAACCGCATCACTGCTGTCAGCCATCAGGGCATCCAGGGTGCCCTTGTCCAACGCGACCGAAAACTCGCCATCAGAAAATGTTGTCTGAAACAGCCAATCAGCAAGTGAGTGGGTTGGTTGGATAGTTGTAGGGGTGCGTGTGTGTTTGTGTGTGTGGTTGCATACATGTGAGAATGAGTGAGTGAGAGTATATCATGGCAGAAGACTAACAAACTCCTTACAACTCACCCATGACACAGCCATTGACACCACCTCACCTCACAACTCACCCATGTCACAGTCATTGACACCACCTCTCCTTACAACTCACCCATGTCACAGCCATTGACACCACCTCTCCTTACAACTCACCCATGTCACAGCCATTGACCCCACCTCTCCTTACAACTCACACATGACACAGCCATTGACACCACCTCTCCTTACAACTCACCCATGTCACAGCCATTGACACCTCCTCTCCTTACAACTCACCCATGACACAGCCATTGACACCATCTCTCCTTACAACTCACCCATGACACAGCCATTGACACCACCTCTCCTTACAACTCACCCATGTCACAGCCATTGACACCACCTCTCCTTACAACTCATCCATGACACAGCCATTGACACCATCTCTCTTTACAACTCACACATGACACAGCCATTGACCCCACCTCTCCTTACAACTCACCCATGACACAGCCATTGACACCATCTCTCTTTACAACTCACCCATGACACAGCCATTGACACCATCTCTCTTTACAACTCACCCATGACACAGACATTGACACCACCTCTCCTTACAACTCACCCATGACACAGCCATTGACACCACCTCTCCTTACAACTCACACATTACACAGCCATTGACACCACCTCTCCTTACAACTCATCCATGACACAGCCATTGACACCACCTCTCCTTACCACTCACCCATGTCACAGCCATTGACACCACCTCTCCTTACAACTCATCCATGACACAGCCATTGACACCACCTCTCCTTACAACTCACCCATGTCACAGCCATTGACACCACCTCTCCTTACAACTCACCCATGTCACAGCCATTGACACCACCTCTCTTTACAACTCACCCATGACACAGCCATTGACACCACCTCTCCTTACAACTCACCCATGTCACAGCCATTGACACCACCTCTCCTTACAACTCACCCATGTCACAGCCATTGACACCACCTCTCCTTACAACTCACCCATGACACAGCCATTGACCCCACCTCTCCTTACAACTCACCCATGTCACAGCCATTGACACCACCTCTCCTTACAACTCACCCATGTCACAGCCATTGACACAACCTCTCCTTACAACTCACCCATGTCACAGCCATTGACACCACCTCTCCTTACAACTCACCCATGACACAGCCATTGACACAACCTCTCCTTACAACTCACCCATGACACAGCCATTGACACCACCTCTCCTTACAACTCACCCATGACACAGCCATTGACACCACCTCTCCTTACAACTCACCCATGACACAGCCTTTGACACAACCTCTCCTTACAACTCACCCATGACACAGCCATTGACACCACCTCTCCTTACAACTCACCCATGACACAGCCTTTGACACAACCTCTCCTTACAACTCACCCATGACACAGCCATTGACACCACCTCTCCTTACAACTCACCCATGACACAGCCTTTGACACAACCTCTCCTTACAACTCACCAATGTCACAGCAATTGACACCACAAACTCACCTCACAACTCACCCATGTCACAGCCATTGACCCCACCTCTCCTCGCCCTTGTCACAGCCATTGACACCACCTCTCTTTACAACTCACCCATGACACAGCCATTGACACCACAAACTCACCTCAAAACACACCCATGTCACAGCCATTGACCCCACCTCTCCTCACAACTCACCCATGTCACAGCCATTGACCCCACCTCTCCTCACAACTCACCCATGTCACAGCCATTGACCCCACCTCTCCTTACCACTCACCCATGTCACAGCCATTGACCCCACCTCTCCTCACAACTCCCCTTGTCACAGCCACTGACACCAACTCTCCTCACAACTCACCAATGACACAGCCATTGACTCCACAAACTCACCTCACAACTCACCACTGTCGCAGCCATTGACACCACAAACTCACCTCACAACTCACCCATGTCAGTCATTGACACCACAATCTCACCTCTGTGACATCCATCCGGTGGAAGGCCATGTTGGGACGCTGCTTTCTGTTCTTGTCCGTCATTTGTCGTATGACGGTGTCACTGATGTCGATGTTGACAATGTTGGTGTAGCCCACGTCATACATGTCCTCGCTGAGTCTGGAGTTGCCACAACCGACCATCAGCACCTTGTCCTTGGGCCGCACATACTTCCCTAAAACTCCACACAGCTCCGGGTATTCTCCATACCTACATGCAAGGCCACAAACAATTGATTAGGTAAAACTCCTAACAGCTCCAAATTTTGTTTGTTGGTTTGTTGTTTAACCCCACAGTCAGCAACTTTTCAGCTTTATGATGGCGGTCTGTAAGTAATGAAGTCTAGAATAGACAATTGAGTGATAAATAGCATGAGCATCGATTCACACAATTGGGATATGATGACATGCATCAACCAAGTCAACGTGCCTGACCACCCGATCCTGTTCATTGCCTCTTACAAGGATAGTTGCCTTTTATAGCAAGCATGGGTTCCTGATGTTAAAGAGTTTTCTCTTAACACCCAAGATCTGGGTTTCAATTCCCCTTAGGTACAATGTGTGAAGCCCATTTCTGGTGTCCCACGCCACAATATTGCTGGAATATTGCTGGAATATTGCTAAAAGTGGCACAAAAACCTTACTCACTCACTGACTTGTGTGGAAATAGAAATGGTCCATACCTACATACAAGAAGTGAACTTGAACATTACAGTAACTCCTCCTGAATGTTTTCTTTGTTTATTTTATGAAAAAGTAAAGCAGAAGTGAAGGGAATCAGGGAAGTTTGACCTGAATGACTCCTTAAAACTTAGTCCTGAAGTGAGTGAGTGAGTATGGTTTTACGCCGCTTTTAGCAATATTCCAGCAATATCATTGCAGGGGACACCAGAAATGGGCTTCAAACATTGTACCCATGTCGGGAATCGAACCCGGGTCTTGGGCGTGACGAGTGAACGCTTTAACCACTAGGCTACCCGACCGCCCCTAGACCTGAAGAAAGAAAACAGCAAAAGTTCTGCTACTATACCTTTATGTGATAGATTCACCATTTACATCATGTTTGATCAAAGGATATTTCTGTAGTTATCCAGGATTAATCAAGACCTGCTCAGATGCCAACATTTGGCCCTAAGTCTGCAGCAAATAGCCGTAAAAATTCCCATATTTGAATTTAAAATTTCCCAGTTCCTCTGAAATTAAGTTTTGAAAAACATATGAAATACCAGTTTTGAACAAATTAATTATTATATTTCCCAAGTTGCCCCTCAAGGGCACTTAGTTTGGAATCCTAGACAAATTTCTGGGTCATAGATCATGGATGTGCTTTTTGTCAATTGTCAACTGACATAGCTGAGCATAAAAACAAACTCTCAAGAACGGATAAAAAGCACCAATTCCTACTGACCACTCAAAGGCTTTAGCTCCTCTCTTCTTGTAGAACTTGTCCCAGTATTCCTCCGACACAAACTCTGTGTGACTCCGGGGTAGGAGATCCATGTTCGGGGGAGGAGGAAGGGACAGCCAGTGATCAACTGTCCACTCACACTTCACCTCTTTAGTGAGGGTTTAGCTATGTGGCCATAATTCTGCAAAACAAAACAGCTGCCCAATTTAAAAAAGAAATAATTCAAATGAACTGTTTTAAACAGAGTAATGCTGATGTAATTTGAAACCTGTGAGTAAACAGAATCCAAATCTTCTCAGGTCAGGGTCAACTGACAAGTCTAGCCAATCAGGTGAGTGGGAATGGGGTTTAACGTCACAATCAAGATTATTGCGCTTATATAGCCATGTGCATCCACATGTGTGTGTGTCTGCTTCTACTAGTCCAGACTTATACCTGTTTTATAGTTCTAGCCCACTGAAATAGAACGCCACCGTTTTAATGGACACACTACTCGGACGCAAGAGGCCAATACCAACTCTGAGCCGACCCATCCTTTTTCCCCCTTAATGCCGAGCGCCAGACAGGGTAACAACAAGTACCATCTTTTGACATCTTTTGCTAAGATGCAACCGGGATCGAACCACCGACTCCACTCTCCGGACAGATGCTCTACCAACAGAGTCAATGAGATTATGTGTTTGTGTAGCAGGGCGTGGAGTCATCCTACAGATGACATCCTCTTTGGTCATGTGGACAAGGCCTCTGACCTCGGATCAGAAGGTCAGTGGTTCGAATCCCATCACGGGACTCGGAAATTTTATGGCCGCTACATTGGCGCCCAACGTGGGGCTGAGCACGTTCATATTAAATTTGAGCAAAATAAGCCTAAGTACCCTACTGTGCGGCCCAGGACGTGCCTTCTATTGACGGGGGAGTATGTAGCAGGGCGTGGAGTCATCCTACATATGACATCCTTACCTTGTCAGCTTGCTGACGGGGTTAACCTCTTTGGTCATGTGGACACTGCGTCCGACCTCAGATCAGAAGGTTCGTGGTTCGAATCCCATCACGGGACTCAGAAATTTTATGGCTGCTACATTTGGATACAGTCAAAATTGTCCAGCATCAAAACAAACAAGGCAAAAAGGCCAACATGTGCCAACTTCTTAGGCAACAGGCCTGGTGTTTGGAATTAAGGTCATAAAACAAAGATGGCCAGCTCGCAGTGTGTCTGAGTGGGGCATCCATGTCAAAACACTGGGACATGGCATCTCAGTAGGATTGCACAATAAAACAAGAATTAGTCTGGGCTCCTACAAGCATCAAGTACACACCATAACACACATGCAGACCCGTGAAGATCCGGGTAGAATAGGTCTTCCGCAACCCATGCTTGCCGTAAAAGGCGACTATGCTTGTCGTAAGAAGCGACTAACGGGATTGGGTAGTCAGGCTTGCTGACTTGGTTGATGCATGTCATCGTATACCCCATTGCTTTGATCAATGCTCATGATGTCAATCACTGGATTGTCTGGGCCAGACTCGATTACTTACAGACCGCCGTCATATAGCTGTAATATCACTGAGTGTGGCGTTAAACAACAAACAAACAAAAAAACAACAACAAACAAAAAAAAACACACATACATGACGCTATATAAGTACAATAGACCACATTTCATCTAACCTCTCCTTAGCAGATCACAACAGAAGGGATTGTTTCACCATTTGGAACATCGAAGATAAACTAAGTAAGTTTTTTTTTCTATATTTTTTATCTCAACATTTATCCTACTTTTTAAAACACCTCAACAATAACAGGAATCTCTAAAAATACACTTGCATGCGTCTCGTTTGAAAATGACTATTCGATGACATTTGTATTAACTATTATATCGCCAGCTATTATGTATGAAAATTAATAGTAAAAACATTTCCGTCTATGTGCCGTAAGTGCTAGTATGTCGTTAGATTTCACAGAGGTGTTTGTGTTAGGTAAACAGTAATACTGAATACAGTACATAATTAATGCTGATAAATAATAAACACACATGTGACATAAGTCGACATAACAGTGGTAGTCTAGACAACACAGACGAGTTGAGCCAGGAACAGACCTGTTCGCATGTCTTATTTATTTTACACCACAGTGTGTAAATAATATGACTAGTAACATTATTAACTGTCCTACCTATTCGGTAGTTTATATGGATAAACCTGTTTTTGAGATAGTTTGACTTCTTAGCTCTGTAAACAACAACATTGACGATCTATAATTAACACGTGGATTGAGCAGACATCTTGGAATAAGGTAAACATTTTAGAGTTATCTCCCTTCGGCCATTCACTGTCGAGCGGGATGCTCTGATGGTTGTTTGCTAGCTGAATGTAAGAATTTTTAAGCCTCCGATCGACGGTTGTACGCGAATGTTCAGCTCTTAAAATCCCGTACGCTCCCTTAGTAACACATGTCACGAATGTATCATTATGTGAGCGAGTATGGACATACGCCGCTTTTAGCAATGTTTCAACAATATCACGGCGGGGGAAACCAGAAATGGGATTCACACATTGTGCATTATCGGGAATCGAACCCGGGTCTTAGGCGTGACGAGCGAACGCTTTAACCACGAGGCTACCAAACCGCTCTTTATGATTAAGAGATAAAAAGACATATTTTCAGAGAAATATATCTGTGTGAAATGTATATATGGAGACCGCAATAAAAGTTTAAGACTCTCAAAGTAACTCGATTGCAGTGCGAACACGCGGTTAGTTGTGACGTGACAATTAAGCAACAGACGTCACATCAAACATTATGCCACCAGACATCAGATTGTTGTTTTAACATGGCGTTGACAGGCCAATCAGCCAGCCAGATTCTTTCGCGAGCCCTGTACTCACTTTTGTCATTAAGTTGTAAGTTATTTTATAGCCTACAACGTTTTAACAAAACGAAACGTTAAACAGTACTTCACACTGAGAACAAAAATCGAGTGATTTCTACCAACTAACTAACAGCGTCCAGAAGGTTAGTAAACAGCGAAGTAATGTACTGTCCTGTCTGGGAGATTGCATGTGGCAGAGGTTGTGTGATATTTCCATATTTCAGTTTCGTCGTCATGACAACATAACATTGGTCACTTTTTGAGAAAAGAAGGAGATGATCGTGAGCGTTTGATATATGTTGGTTTTGTAACGCTGTTAATGTAATTTGTTAATGACTGACCAAATTTAGAATTTTATTGCATGCTCTCAATAAAGAAGGGGTGTATGTTAAGTTTGCCAGTGTAAAAAAGATTTGATTATTTTATTTTCATGTCAATCACGTTTTGTAGTGTTGTATACGCAAATAAACTTAAAATGCCACTGCATCATTATATGTTATCTTTCACCTGTATTGTTGTTGTCATTTGTTATTTACTTTGGGTATCTTTGCATTGTATTCCTCAGCTGCCAACAGGTAGCGCAATATGGTCAAGAAATGATTAAAGTGTAGAAAAACTTACTTCGATCTTAGTAAATATACTATTGCAGTTAGTGACTTAGGAGGAAAAAATGTGTATATGCCACGTATTGAATTAGTATAATTCGCTACTTAAACCAGTAGTTATTTGAAAGATGGATAGTAATCTCTATACTAACTGATGAGTAAATAGGTCACCTACTAGTCTATTTAGCAAATATTTGCTAACTGGCCGAGGTGAGGTGTGAGGGCGTCTATAAGGATGACATACTGCTGACTATACATCTTAAGTATGGGACGAAAGTCCGAAGTGTGGCAAGTCTTAGACGTTTACCACGTTTAGTGAAACCAACAAAAATTGTTTACAGCTGTAAAACCTAGAAACATATTAATTATGAAACTTACGATCATAGGTTTCTGGCCGTTCTGGGATTGGAACCTACGATCATACGTTTGTGGCACGCGACAGCGACAGGGATAGCGACGACTCAGCCACCCGAAACCCTGGGGGCTCTTCCTTTCACTATTTCACTCTGACCAACTGAACCTGTGGCTAATGACCGAACGCATCAGGGGTAATCATTTTCTTCTAACCTGTGAAGACCCGGGTGATCCTAGGTCTTCAGGCAACCCATGCTTGCCGTTTGGAGGAGACAATGTTTGTCGTAAGAGGCGACTAACGGGATCAGGTGTTCTGGCTCGCTGATTTGGTTGATGCATGTCCTCGTATCCCAGTTGTGTAGATCGATGCTCATGATCCATACTTGATTATTTACAGACCGCCCTAAAGAGGAAAGTACCTGTAGATAAAAAAGAAACTATCACCATCAAGTCATATAGTAATTAAAAACATGCTTACCATTGACCTATTTCAAGTCATACAACATGAAACACAGGTTCGAATCAGTTCTAAAATCAACTTAATTTTAAAACAATTATGGATGTTCTGACAGTCTCGAGCAAAATGGAACAGGATACTATATTGTAATTTTACGAAAATGTAAGAAACTTTCTTCACAGGTGTAGATCTAGATAGTTTCTTAAGCATGTTTTATTTTATTTATTAAATTAGAATGACAGATGGATCTGCATGGTTTAGGTCTACAATCTGTGACGTTACAAAGTTTGGCTTTTGTCATGGTCAAAGGGAGACAATTCAATAGATGTTATTATTTAGTTTGTGGTCAAAGGGAAGTAATTCTGCTTGGTATTAGACTGTGCTTCTGTCTGACCAAAAGCGCTAAACTTGCGGCGCCCACCAACAGTTGAACCAGTCGACTTGGTAATTTCAAACGGAGTTGCGCCCCCTTGTACTAGCTCCCTTCAGGGTCTGCATGCAAACTCTAGACTCTGCATTGTACTTTATCAAAGGGCAGTATGTGTTAAAGTAAATAATCTGTGTGCTATGTGCACATCCGATATAAGTTATGACGTCATTCGAACTTATACCAAGGGAGATAACCAGTTGTTTCTGAGCTCTTTCTCAGTGCGTGAATGGGCTATCGCTGTAGAGAGTTTGAATTCCCTGTAGAGCTCGGAAAATTCCACACAATGTGGAGACTTTAAATCAACACAATGTAGGGAGCTGATACAAAGGACCTCACTTATTATTAACATATTATAACACGATTATCTCCCTTAGACCATTAACGGCACTGATGGACCGTCACGGTTTGCCGCCTTCACAAACACACCACGCTTGTCGGGTATAAGACGATTATATACTTCTCGTGTTTAGTTCTATTTTGATTCATTGTTCACTGGGATAACCTAGTGATAAAAGCGTTCGCACGTCACGCCGAAGACCCGGGTTCTATTCCCTACATGCAATGTGTCAAGCCAATTTCTGGTGTCCCCGTCGTGATGTTGCAGGAATATTGCTAAAAGCGGCGTAAAACTTTACTCCCAATTCTCACCACACACCGCTTGTAGGGTAATCTTTCAACGACGTTTATATCAAAGTCTCGTGTTAACTTCTATCATGATTTTATTTAATTTTTTATCTATGTATTCCTTTTTGGACCATGCGACGCCATTTTTCATGTCACACACACAGACCATCCGGACATATCGTAAGCGTCTGATGCCTTGTTTCAAATATGATAAATCTTTTAGAATATCAGTGTGGCACAAAGACTTTCATAGTTACCGATTTATACTTAAACAGTTTGCCATAAAGCCATATCACATAATTCGAACCTTTGACGTCACAATAGATTGTGGTAATGGCAAGTAATGTGGCGATATGAGTTATTCTTTAGGATTTGCCGATGTAAACCCACGCAGTTGGAAACAGTAAGAGCGTCTTACTTATGTTGGTGTTTCTCAACTCCAAGATGTTCCCGGAAAAAGGTTCCTTGTAGAAGAATACGCATTCTAGGCTTTATACCAAATATTCGACAATTTGACAATTTAGACGCATGTCTGGTGACTCAGGCCGACTATTAAGAACAGGATCTAAGGGCGTCCTGACATATTTCTGTGACTCTCATCTCTCACCGCCTGCAAAATTCCCTCCCTCCGAAAAAGATGTTGTTTTATCCCGAATTATCCACCGTCCATATGTAATTTTGTAAAATTATATAGTTTCACAAAGAAAAGGTCTTGGTATAAAAATGACAGTATGTGTTCTTAAAGTGAACTGTCGAGACTTGGAATGGAAAAAAAACCCAACTCTTTGCTAATTATATTTCTGTGTGGATTCGCCTCCACTACAGTTCGCATTTAAAGGGAGGAGCGGTGTTGATGTTGAGAAAGTACGTGGCATGGAAACTGCGAAAATGGCAATCACACAGACGGGCCTCTCTGTTGTTTATGAAGTTCGGGGTGTTGGGCAACTCCGATCGTTAAAGTAGAAATAAGTTACTACCACTTTTGAAAACCCAATGACTACTACCTTCGGTGATTCTGCGAGAAGATTGTAAATTCGCCATGAAAGGAAAACTTTCTAAACAGGTTAAGATCCAGATAGTTTCTTATGGGTTTTTTATTTATTAAATTAGAATGACAAATTGATCTTATTTAACAAAGTTTTAATTTTACAGCAAAGAAATGCAAAATATCCTTTCTTTAGTGAACCAGATTTCATATTTTAAAATCATCCATACAATAGATTCCTACAATATTTACATGGATATAATATCAGGTGTTTTCTTCGATTTTCACAGCTGAACGAGAATAGGACAACTATAGTCAACTTAGCAAAAAATAAATCTCACAGATGCCACGCTAATTCCACAATTATTTACATGTGGTCGATGCTCATGATGTCAATCACTGGATTGTCTGGTCCAGGCTCGATTATTTACATACCGCCGTCATATAGCTGGAATATTGCTGAATGCGGCGTTAAACAAAATACAAACAAAGAAAACGTGTAATATTAATTAATTGTATCGCGAATTCATATTTTGTAGAATGGTTTAACGCACTGACGAATCCTGATGTATAGATACTGTTCCCTGCAAACACGTAGAGGTGAATCCCATACATGCATCTGTAGCGCGGCTGTAGTCGGGTCACAGTATTTTTTAACATTGCGAAACTTGCAAAAATATGTGACAAGTCCTAGAAATTGTGACCAGTACGTATATATGTTTAGTCTACCACTCTGGTAACTCTCGATACGTCATAAATGCAAAATAAGCCTTTGTAACAAGCAACCCTCCGAGTTAAAATAACCCGTCCAAAATATATAACCAAAAACAAAAACAATTACGATAATGTAGGAGTGAAAAATGTTGGGGATCCCAGTTTAAAGAGACAACTGTCAGTTCAAATTTGCTCCGTGCACCAGGAAAATACTGTAATAAAAATTAAGGAATAAGTGATGGATGGATTGATGAAGGGAT